CAAACCGCCTGCCCCTCCGCACTGCCTCTCTCGCCTACGGACAGGTTTTGAACCACATCTCTCAGTAGAACTAGGCACTGGCTAGTAAAAAAATAAACGCAACCTCATGGACAAAAGGCCTGCATGTAGCTAGCTGCAGAGTCAGAAAGTACCAAAACCAGAAAGCTTGCTTTAAGGGGAAGGGAGACAAATAGGGTTACATTTGAACACTCCTCTGAGCTCTAGTTCTCTACCTGAAGTCTCGGGAATAGAGGAACAGTGAGGTGGCAGTGGGCACCGCTGGCCGCCTGGGACTCGGCTCTGCAGCTAGGTCTGCGTGGGTAAGCCCCTTCCATCTACAGGGACTGCAGAATCGAGTCCGCTGCTGGTTTGACCGCATCAAAACCTGCTGCAGTAATTACAATCTTCAGGTAGAAACACTTGATTTGCTTTTCCTACCAGCCAACTGGGTTTAAGAACAAGAAGTGAACTGGAATAGACTGTTGGATATTCCACATTATATTCTGTGTGAAAAAGGAAAACTGCTCTTCCAGGGAGCAGGAAGGAATAGCCCCACCCCTTTGCTGCATTTACTCTTAATCTGTGTTCACTTTAAGGTGCTACTGCTGTTAGATTTCAGTCGCCAAAGAACTTCTATTGAGGTTGGTGATAAATTGATTTATCTTTGTTTAAATCCCATTTTCCATGTTAGTTGCACTGAGCAAGTTTAACAACCAGCTAATACTCCATTGCAACTGATGTTGCCAGGCTATCTTCTAGCTCTGAAAATACTCTTTGAAACATAATGTGGGTTGATTGTGAATACTGTATAGGACTTAAGTGAGTGCTTGTGCTTAAAGAGGACCAGAGAAGAATATCTAATTGTTTTTGCACCTCCTACTTCAATGCTGACAGATTGTTCTGCATGATTCTTTGCTTTCTACCCAGAGCTGAAGTTTTGGGCACTTAAATTCTGTGTTGGGAAAATGCAGTTGTTGCATCTAAGACTACACACAAGGCGCTGTACAGCTGCTGAAGCTTCTGCTATTGCAGCCCTGGATAGCTGTGAGACATTCTGTAATGTGAGACTATGGTTGAGAGCCGTTCTGTAATCACAGGCAAAACTTAATTTGTCAAGAGAAATGTTTTCTTCATTTCTTCCCCTTTATGTGTCTAGGATAAATCTAATCATGCTGTTGTGTAACAGAGTAGGTTTAAAGACCTAATCTAGCACTTGCAACAGAACTGAAGTTCATGCAAGTTCTTCATTGGTTCTTAGACTGTTAAAAGGCAGCTGGAAATACACAGTGATTTCACCTTAGTGGGCAAACTGGAAGACATGGACGCACCATTGGAGAGACCCGTTCCTGTGAAAATAAAGATCAAGATGACTATTTCCTTGTAAAGGAGAATCGAGGCGGAGAGGAACATATGCTGGAGTGGTGGGAGAATGAGGCTCGGGTCCTTTGTACCCCCCTTTGTTACTTTGGAAGAATAAATTGGCCTCTATTTCTGACACTCTCTCTTTGCAGACAGGTGACAACAGCATGCTTAGACCTCAGAGCAGGACTGGGTGACCAGGATTAAAGCAGGATAGGAGTTTGACACTCCCTTTCAACAGGCCTTCAGCTAAATGTTTGTTTTCCCAGAGAGCTGGTACAAAAGCCAAGAGTAGGAGGTTTATCTTGGAGTTTAAACTTTACTTGCAGGTGGTTCTCGCCATCACACCCAAGCCTGTGCTGGATGTGGCTTCCTTCAATACGAAATCCCGCTGGCTATAGTCTTTACTTATGTGTTACAGTATTTGCCCAGTACTGTGAAGAGGACACAGCTACAAGTAATATCCAATAGATGGCATATATATGTCTATCAGAAAAATAAGTGGATGCTTACTAACTTTATGTTTTACTAGAAGATAACAGAACTCTCTTCTCTTCCTACCTCCCCTCAGCTTTAAATACATTCCTTGTCTGGGAGGAGTTCCTTTGTCTATCAAATCTACTATGCCACCTTTCCCCCTCACTTCTTATGCTGCTACAAGTAGAATGTTATCTGGTAGGTTGAAGGATCTGTCCCTCATATTGGCTTACCAGCCCCACAAATAATGTCTAAAAAAGGCAGCCTTCTCAAGGGAGGTTTAAAATGCTTCTGTTCTTGCTTTTCCAGTTCAACTGCATCCAGATAGTTGTGTTTTTATTAATCCATTTTAGAACAATAGTCAGAACACCATTATGCTATAAAATAAAAACTCATCCTCCAATATATCCTATGCTTGATCTCTTTTCTTTAGCATGCTCATAAACCAGAGTGCAGTAGTTGAGTGCTTAATGTCATATGTGATAACTTGAATTTAACGCAGGGTCCTCCCCATGCCATTTCAAGCTTCATTTAACAGTTGAGGAGAAATGAGAATCTCACTTCGTGGGCTTAACTTATTTCCGTTCATCTTGGAGGGAGCTAGTGACGGTTTGGAAGAAATACAAGTCATAAAAACAGCTTTCTCCTTCCTGTTTAAGATTAAATTGTTTCAGCTTTTGTTTTGGCTGGACTTTGAGCCAGTGAATGAAAAAAAACCAGAAGAGGAAGTACAGCAAAAGGGAGGTAGGGAAGAAGTGAGGCTGCTTAGTAACTGGAGAGCGCAGAATACAGGAAGCATACGTATGTCAAGAGAACAACTTTGAAAGGAACTGGTGGTGACTCACGAAGCAGTCAGTCCCGTCTGTCTCTGCCCCATGTTGCAAGAGTAGTAGCTGAAAGCTTGTGCGTTTTCCACTTAAAGTCAAAAGTGGTCTCTGATCGTCACATTGCTACAGGTGCACATTTGTTAAGTCCTAAAATACTAGTTGTGCCATAGTGACTATCCTCAGCTGAGATCTAGCGTGTCTCTGCAATAGCAGCTGGGTACACACAGCTATAATATGTGATACTGTACTTTGAGATGGCTCTTTCTAATGTATTATTGTGAAATGCTGAAGACTGCTTTTCTCCCCCTCACCTTCCTCTTCCATCCACTAGATTAAGCAACAATGGCATTTGTGAAGAGCGGATGGCTGCTCCGGCAAAGTAAGTCATGAGCCTTTTACCTCCTTTTCTCTCCACTGTGTCTAACTTCTTCAAAAAACATCAGAGCAACTTAGTAATTCCCAGGTCTTTCTTAAAACAAGTCTCTAGCTCTGTGGATTGTTTTTTGGTTTTGTTTTGTTTTTTTTTCACCTTTAGCACACTTCACAAAATGACCTGTCATGACAGCATTTCCATGTGACCTTTTGGGTATACCAGCGGGAAAGAGGATATACCATATCTGAGGTGTCTGACTGGCATTCAGCTTCAGATGCTGCTCTGTAATTAGTGCTGTATAAGTGGAGACTTGGAAACTTTACCTGACACCTTAACTTAATGTCTTCAATTAGTCATGCCCTCTGCTTGTTCTTGCAGCAAGTTAGAACTAAAGTGCCAGGTTATGCACTTAAAATAAACTCAGTTGACTTTGAACACTAGATAAAATCTGGAACCCCATTCTGTAATGTTCTGAAGTGGGTATGTTGTACTACAGGATTTGCTTGGCACCTCAGAATGTCTGGGGCAACTGTGAAGGATTTATGGGTTTATTTTTTATTAACTCTAGGACAGAAATACTTCCTAATATGTGCCCTCAAAAGTGACTGTCTGATTTTTAAGGTACTATTTTACGTCGTTGGAAGAAGAATTGGTTTGACCTGTGGTCTGATGGCCGCTTAATATTCTATGATGATCAAAATCGCCACGATATAGAAGATAAAATCCACATGCGAATCCATTGCATCAACCTCAGAGTGGGGAATGAATGTCGAGGTAATAATGAAACCTGCAGTATTTGTGTATTCAGAGATTCTTTACAACTTCAGTGCCTGCCCAGCATACCATTTACAACACCACTGCAGAAGTAAACGCATCCAAGAAGAGTGCGACTTCATTGTGGTTAAAAAAACCTCCCACTCCTCATCCCCTAAAAAAACCCAACCCAACCAACGACTAAATTCCTATATAGATACCTAGGATGTGCTATTACCATGTGATAGATTAGGTTAGGGTTTGATGCTTCCTTTTAAAACTCACTGAGGACAGCGTACCATATATGCAGGTGGCAGGCATGCACGCACGTGAGAATTGGATGTTCACAGTAGATGTGTGTCTGATTATAGAGTGTTACTGGTGTAATTATAGCGCTGCCTGGAGTGAGAGGCAGGACTAGAAATAGGAAACCTCAGCAGATTTTTTTCCAGTATTACTGAGTTAATTTCTAGCATTTGTCAGTACTCCACTTGGTGCTGACACAAGTGAAGGACAGAAGTGTTGGAGAGTATTTATTGCTAAGTATGGCTTGGCTCTGCTGTAAGACACTGGCGTTTCTTTGCCATGACTTACTTTCAGGACACTCTGAAGAGCGAGAACAGGTTATTTCCTTCTGTAATTTGTTCTGATGCCACAAAAGGCACCTACAACTGGCCCTAGTTTATTTTGTCCAGACTTCTACATAAACTGTCTTCCTTCTTGTAAATGTGATCATGAAATTCTGGTTATTGATATTTCATAACTCGTCTCTTTTTTCTGACTTAGATTTCCAGCCTCCAGAGGGGAAGCAGAGAGATTGTTTACTGCAGATTGTTTGCCGTGATGGGAAGACGGTCAACCTCTGTGCAGAGAGTGCAGATGACTGCCTGTAAGTCTGCCAGAAAATAATTGTTTTTGCTGCCTCTTCCTCTTTTATCTTTTTCTCTCTTTAATTATTTTCCTTCCTTCGGACTTTCACAGACATGTTTTAAGAAAGTTTTCAAGCAAGTAAAAGCAGGCTTTCAGTGACAAAAAAACATAGCTCTCCTAGAAGTCACCTAGCTCATGCAAACTAACTGCAAGTTAAGTCACTGAAAACACTGAAGGCTGAGCAGGAGTCAAAGTATCTTATTAATATGGCTAATGCAAGGCTTGCTGAACAGAGTTTTTTTTCACTTTTCCCATCCAAGTAGTACATGAGCCTGCATAGCCCAGGGACATCCCAGCCAGTAGTGAAAGGAAGAATACTCCATTATTGTGAACTCTCAACTGAGCTTGGCTATGTATAGTTAGGTAACTTCTATCATCAGTGTTTGCCAAGTACGCGTGGTGCATCAAGCATGCTCCCAGCCATCTGGCATGGGAGAGTCTGCGTGAAGTATATGTACCTTCTGTTCAAACTCGAATAGCATCAAGACCCACACTCCCTAGTCAGCGCAGATGCAACTGTTCAGGCAGGAGATACAATTTCCTTTTTTTTTCGTGGCTGCATATTACCTAGCTGTTGTGCTTGCAGGGAGGACCTTCAAAACTGCATCTGTTCCTTCTCATATTCCTCCTCATTCCTTCTCAGCTCTGCAAAGAAATTAATTTCTCAATCTTGGTGTAACACCTTTGTGCATTCATTTTAGTGTATCGTTAGGCTTTGCCATATGCAGTATCTTAAACTCTGCTCCTGCAGTACCTGTAGTTGCTAACCTTGTTTTTTTCATAGTCCTAAAAAGAAAAGGTGGTGTTAATTTTTATCAGTGTTCACTAAACAATGTTTGGGTTTTTTTGCAGGGCATGGAAAATTGCTCTCCAGGACGCCAGAACAAACACAGTAAGTGTACTACCTAGACTTTATACTGATAGAGAAGCAGCATGTCAGTGTTACGTGTCATCCAGCCGCTTACTTCTGAAATCTTGTTCTGTCCTTCTCTGCTAGAGAAAAACAGGGTCATGAGCATGATGGTAAGGCTTGTGGGTGGGGAGAAGAGTGATCCTCTGGATCACAAGCATGTCATCCTTACAGCCAAGTCCAGGGAAATACATGCTGGGTGGAAGTGAATGATTTCAGGGAATGATTTCTCTGGGTGGAAATGAATGTTTGGGAAACTGATCTGTAAGGGAAGTGGGCACTGAGGCAGTGGGCAAAATGCAACCAGTAAAAATGCACTTTCCACTCCTAGCGTTGGTTGCCTACCAGGTGCAGCGCTAAAGGAAGCTTACTGCAAAGAAGCTGTTAATGTAGATCCATTACATCGTGGGATGCTCCTTGGCGGAGACTAGGGGAGGAGCAAGAGGTGCTTGGAAGGGAGTACAGGCATGCTGAGAAGGAGTATATTACCTCTGCATCGGCATGCTAGCTGTGGAGAGTGAAGAGGTCAGGAATCATAAAAGCCTCTCTATGAGCCTTGGAGTTCTCTAGAGAACTGTATCTTTGGGGAACCACGTCCATCCACTTGTGGGTATTGTTAATTTGTTTTTCCTCCAGACTGCCTTCCGGAGTACTCTTCAGCACTAGCTTTCCTCGGATGGCTAGACTGAACCAACCTGAGATGTTTCTGTTTCATGGGGAAATGCTGGGTTTTGTACAAGCTTATCTCAGTTTTTGATGGGTCACATTAACACTGCCACTGTACTGAGGCATCTGTCATATGATATAACTTAGATATGTAGATACCCAAAGCAAGCACTTGTCATAGCAAAACTACCCTGGACATGATTGCCTCTGACTGCAGCCATGCTACACTGCTTCATGGTGCTAAATGAGAAGTGAAGGAATTGCCCTCACACAGAGGACACAACACTCACTGTCTGTCTGCTCTAGTTTTAGGGGCTTTATCTTGCCTATGTGCGAGACAGTGACTCCTGGTTTCAGGAGTTGGGAGCTGCTGCTTTTCGTGTCTCTCACACTCAGCTGCCAGCCCTGCTAGATGGCATTCAAAACTTGCCAGTGCATCACCTTTGTCAGCCAAGGCAGACCCGTGCTACTGAAAGTAGGGCAGGTAGCTCTCTGCACGAGTAGTATCATAAATTAGCACTTCCCAAAGCTATTAAAAGTCTCCAACAAGGACTTGAACTAGCCAGGTAACTGGGTTTGAGTCCATCTGTAGGTGTCTGACACGGCTTTCAAAAATATGAAGCATCCAGCAGTGCCTCAAAACTTTACTGGAATAGCAGGGTGATCACCCTACCTTTGAGAATTATGTCATTTACAGATGTTTGCAGGCTCGTGTCATATGCCTGTACAGAGTTCCCTGTAGCAGAACAGAATACATTTACTGCTAAGATGTAAGTATTTGATGGACTTTTTCTCAGGTGGTGGAGATACCTGCCTCTTCATATAGTGCTTTCAACAGTATGTTTCAAGCAATCCTTAGAATCTCCACCACAAGTTTGACCTGGGATATGCCCATAGTATGCCCCTAAAAGTCTTTCTACAGTCCAGGTACAAGAGATAACAGAAACATTCTCTATTGAGCTATTAAAATGTTCACTTGGAAATTAAAAAAAGGGAGCTGTTTTTTTTTTCTTGGGATAGGGCACTGAGAGCATCACTGTAGATTTCTGATATTAGGGGCAAGAATACAACGCTACTGTAACAAATCTTAATTATCTTTGAGAGCCCCTTGTAGATGGAATCAAGTAAGCTATCACCTTTGCCTCATGGCTGTCTTCAAAAAGGACCAGAACACTAGGTGGCATTTGCAAAGTAATTCCCTAAAAACAACCAAGCCCCCGAAATCCTTACAGTTAAACCTCTCTTACTGTATTTTTTTTTTAAAGTCTCCTCACAGCCAGAAAGTGAGAGATGGATAAGAACTGTGAGAGTGTTCTGCTAAAATGTTCAGGTGCCACTTTTGGCTACTGCATTTGTTTCCTTTATCTGCTTTTGCAGAACTTGGTGATACCACTCTAGGGTGCCAGGAAGCAGCTAGCTTAGTTGTGAAGACCTTTTTATCTGAAAACAGAGGATGAACAAGAGGGTAGTTTCTAAAACTGAGGCTATGAAATGATGGAAGGAGTTAGTGTGCTTGCATGTACACATACGCATGTGCGTGTGCACGTGCACATACACAGGTAAGAAATTCTATGGCTCCTTCCTGTGGTTGATCAGGCGTTTGTATTCTCCCAGGTCTGCTCTCCAAGTACTTACTTTTTGCAGCGCCTTATAAGGTACTCACTGCTTTCTTAACATGCGGCACATCTAAAGGTTACTCTTTCTTTGGAGTCTTTAAGTTTTAATCCTTGCACTACTCTAACTGGGTGTCTGTAGGAAAAGGTGGTAACTGCTTCCTTTCCGTGGTGTTTAGGGCTACGTGGGATCTGATGTGATGTATGATGAGACAGCCATTTCCTCAGCCCCTCCTCCCTATACAGCTTATGCCACACCATCACCTGAGGTAAGAGAAACATTAAAATAAGCGAGGTAGGAGAAGTGGCCATCCTTCAGGCATTCAGACTGTACTCCCAAAGTGCTCTGTTTCACTGTTAGATCCAGCTTTAAGGTTTGCACAAAAGGACAGTGAGAGTAAGGCACTAACAATCTATTGTCTCTCCTATTTGAGATGGATTTCCTCTGAAAGGGATGAGGCCGATTTGGTTGGGAGGTATATAAAGGGATGGTTGCTGAGTGAACTTGGAAAATAAAGCTTCTTAGAGACAAGGCAGAAGTTATTTGGCTAATCTTGAAAAATATTGGCCACGCAGCTTTTAACATAAGGAGGTGTGACTACACTTTCACATTGTGTAAGCATTGGAAGGATATAAAATCAGTAGTTTTAAAAATAGGATTTAATGACTGGAGTTGTCACTTTTAACACATAAGGATTTTGTTGTATCCAGAATGTCATAGCAACACAGTAACTCTAGCTCCTGGATGCACAGTTCTTTTGTAGTGGAGAAGGAGCAGCATTGGGGCGAAACCAGTACACATTGAGGATTTCTGGATGTTCTGACTGACGTGCAGTGACACACAAAGGGACAGTTTGGGGTAGTATACTTGTTGCACTATAGGTGCTCTGCTGCAGCTCCTCACTGTTAGAAATAGCTGTGAAGAACTAGATGCGGTACTTGGGAGCTGTAGCGGGGCTAGCAGCGGGCCTCCTCTTTTGGAGAGCAAAACTGCTTCCAGAACATACAGCTACAGAGTATTTGTCCTGAATCTGACAAGATTCACACTTGCACTGTGCTAGAGGGAAGTTGGCTGGAGTTTCCTGGGATCAGCTGCTGCCTACCTGGCACTTCTGCGCTCTCCAGAGAGCTGTTGTCGGCATGAGGGCAGAGAGGAGAAGCTGGTAAGGGTGCTGTGGCTCTGCCTGATGGTCCAGGCCCTGCCTCTGCCATTCACCAGCCAGGAAGGGTGGACAGCACGTCCTACTTAGGAGCACTTATTTTTTCAAGCAGCTCTTCTGAATCCTTTCCAGGGAGTAGATAGACTGTATCAGTACAGACTGGATATTTTAGCGAAACACTGACTGCATTAGAAATGAGGGAGAATTGAACAAAGTGCGGATACACAGCAAAGAATACTTTCATAATTGGGATTTTTAATTTTACCAGGTTTATGGCTATGGCTACGACCAGTACAATGGTGCATATCCCCCTGCTGGTCCTCAGGTCTTCTATGCCTCCAACGGACAAGCCTACGCTGTTCCCTATCAGTATCCATACCAAGGTAATCAATATCAACCATATCCTTCACCTTCCTATAAAGCTATTTGAGGCAGGTTTTTTTGGCTTTAAATCTATTAATCACCATCCTTTACCACCCCCACTCCTGCACAACAGCATGATAGAAGAAACCTGATTTGCAACTGGAACCAAGTCCCCTTACCCTTTCACAACAGAGCGAGCGCAGTGAAATCTGTGTTAAGTGATTTAACCTTCCTAGTGTGATCCCAACATATTTAAATTACTTCATAAACTCTTTTTGAAGCACATAGAACTCTCTAACTACAGTAGGCAGCATGTTTTCTAAGGAAAGATAGAAGAGCCAGAACAAGATTGATTCAGTATGTCATATTGGGCATTGATGGAGCTTTTGATTCATCTGTTGCTCTTATACCTAGCTTAATTATTTCAACACTGACATTCAGCTATGACCTCAGAATTAAACGCAAGTTTCAAGGGTAAATCTGTTCCCAAAGCATGGTTGTAACTGGTTCCTTCCCCACGTGCTGGAATTGCTGTAAGGCAGTACATTCAGCCTTGTGAAGTTCTGTTGCTCTGTTCAGGTTTGTATAGCTTTCAATCCCAATAAAAGAGGATCAACTTTTAGGGTGTACTTTTAAGCTTAGTCATCTTAATTTAGGATTAGGTTTGCATAGAGAGCCCCAATCCTACAGAATTAGGGCTTTAGAGTAGTTTGGGTAATATAAATATTTGGATAATATAAAGATTTAATTTACTAATTGTTTATGACCTGGATCTGAAAACAAGAATCTCTACTCAGAATTTTTTTCAGCTTTAAGGGAGATTTTTTTCTTTTTTCCATTTGACATTTGTCAAGTTATTTCATTTGCCTTTTCCATTTTTTGTTACAAGAGAGGTTCATCAGCCTAAAGCTTTTAAAGCTTTCCTCATCTGAGTTAGTGAAGTCCTAAGATACAGATCACATATATGCAAACACAGAGGAAGGTGGGCTCTCTTGGTTCTTGACAGCTGAAAAGCAGCAGCTTCTTGAAAGTGCCAAGAACTATTTCTAAAACCTACCAGCAGGCCTTGGAAATCAAGTTTCAGAAACCTGCATGATAAAAATGCAGCATTAAACAGTAACTCTCCTAAACAGTTTGCAAATCCAGTGTGTTAAGATACTAGTTATAGGTCGGGCATAGGAACTAAGCCTCGATGTTTTCCTTCACTAGGGTTACTGCAACTAAATTTTAGGGGTCAAGCTCACCCCTAGCAACTAACTTAACCCCTGTACTTTGGGCTTCATTGCTCATTGTCTGAATTGACATAATCCTTCTCATGGGGTTCCCGGTCATGCATCATTGAGAGTCAGTGAGAGCCTTTTCCAGTTGTATGACTTGGATTACTTCAGTATCTGTTACAAACAACATTGCGGTATCTTCAGGAATATTTTATCTTCCTGAAATGTCTGGAAAGGAAAGCAGTACCATTATGTTTGCTTCGCAGGTAGGAGCTAAGTCACAAAACATGACAGGTGGAGCTTGTACAAGTCTGTTGCAGAGCAAGGGTCAATTGGTGGTTTCTTGAGTCTTAGGTTAATTCCTTACTACTGGGCCAATCTTCATCTGAAAAGAAATGTAGCAGCTGTCACCACACAACAGATCACTCCAGGATGTGAAGGCTGAATTTTAGTAGTAGGCAGTACTTGTAGAGTAAATAACCGATACACAGTTTCTGACAAACCACTGTCTTCAGAGCTGCCAAAGGTTTTGGTTTTTTTTTGAGTGTGGGGAGGAAACTGCACTATTTCCGTAACTTCAAGGTTGAATCAATTTTTAGACCCATTTCTTGTATTAAATCCACTAAGTGTTTGATAGAATGATACAAGTAATTCATAAGTTCTTTGCTAATATAAATGCAGAACAATGTTCGGTTTTGCATTTGTGATGAGCTTTTCTCCCACGTATTAAACTCTTACAAGGCTAGAAGTGTTGCTAGGCCTCTGGATTTATTTAATAAATGTGGAGGCTGATTCCAAAGAGATATATTCTACCTTTGTAACTGACATCATCTTAGTGTTCGATGGATGGAAGAAAGTGAAAGAACGAGCATGTTTTGAAATCACAACACATGGTTTTAAGATATACATTTCTTTTGTCCTCCTCCTAACAATCTCTTATTACCTAGGACCTTATGGCCAACCCCCTGCAAATCATGTCATCATTCGAGAGCGTTACCGTGACAGCGATGGAGATCTTGCACTAGGCATGCTTGCTGGAGCAGCGACCGGAATGGCTCTGGGATCATTATTCTGGGTCTTCTAGATTACCCGTTCCTTATCTTTGTAGTTCCAAAAACCTTTATTGTGTGCAATAATATATTGGCGATGTTGTTTACTGTTAAACTTTAAGAAATGCAATAGTTATTTTTGAGTAGTGACATCTTAATAACTGATTCTTAACTGTCTTAAGGAGAGTTTAAAGGCACCATTTAGTTGAGTGGTTGGAGGTGGCATGTGCTGCTTTTGATTTCTGTTCTGATATGTGGAGTTAGAAGGATTTGTACTGATAAGGATGAACATGAGCACCAATGTAATATGGTAGCAGTCACTAGCTTTATGGACAGGCTGTTATTGTAAACACTGTAGAAAAAATTGATTTGGGGACAGGGCTAAAATCTGGTCCAAATAGGAGGTTTACAGGAGCCCTGCATTAGCATATATGTAGTACTGGCTTCTAAACATTCCCTGGACAAACATATAGCTCAGCAGAAACTCCTTGGCATTAGGTAGTCTGCCATGCTTGAGGATTTTTTTGTTTTCAAACTTGCCTGCAGATGGTAGTGTATTTTCTTAGATGGAGTCGTATACCTGTCTCTCACACCATCCAGGTGAAGTTGTCTTTGAGAACGTAGAAGCAAACTGCTAAGGAGTGGCAGCACTCTTCAGTTCTTTTATTCTCCCAGAAATGTGAATGACCAGTGGCAAGGAAGACCAATGTTTGTTGTTCCACCTCCCTCTTTACCCTGAGTCCCTCTTCTCTGGTCAGATGGAAGTAATGGTTCTTTAGCTTTGCAAGTGGTCTTCCTTGTCTGTAGAACAGTTGCTTCAGACATTGTACCAACTGCATTGCTGAGGAAGAGGCCATTGTCTAGTGTCTCTGCTCGTTGCTGCTGTTGCTCTGCGGAGTCTTCAGGAGGAGAACTAACTTGAAGAACCCTTGCCCTGTTGGGCCTACCAGAACCCCTCTGCAGGCAGTAATAGTCAAGAGGGGAGAGACAAACAGCACAAGTAGACCTTGCACACAGGCACTTTGATATCAGCTGCCTTGCCATGGCTAGGATAGAACGTCTGCCTCAGCCTGCTGGGTCTCCTGAACCAGGTTCATTATTTGCCACTAGTTTTGAGCACAGCTGAGCCTGGGTTTGTTCTGTGCGTGCTTCCCCCTCACATTCAGCAGGTCTCCCCTCCATGACTTGTTAAGGAAAACACTCCGAGGAACCTGGCTGGCTTTGCTTGTATGTCTGGTTCCTTACACAATGTGCTCCTGCAGGCTGCTGTGCTATGGACTGTAATCTGGAGTGCAATTGTTAACGTGTGTTATGTGGCCTATTACCTTATCCTGTTATAATCCATGCTGAGCTGGGCTTGGCACAGGAAGGAAAGCTCTGAAGAAATGCACGTGCTTTCTTAGTCAGGTAAAAGAGGCAGGGTGCCTAAGTTGAGTTCTTTATAGTAAGAGGACTTATTTTTATACTTCCACTTTCAGCTTCCTGTATTCATGCTGTTTTAATATGTTAAGTCAGTCTTATGCTTTCATTCAGAAATAGGTTAATTTCCCTAAGGTTCATGGGATTTCAGGTACGTCAGGAAAGATGAAAATAGATGAGAACTTGCATCTGCATAAATTTACATCAAGCCCCAATCTTTTTCATTTCATCCTAGAGCTGTCTTGGCTCCATCCTACATATTTAAGCAATAGAGGTCTGGGACAAGAGTTTGGGTAGCAGCCAGGGGAAGCACTAAGCTTTCATGACTCCTAGGACCAACCCAACAAACTGAAATTGGAAGTAAACAGACAGATGTAATCTTGGCTGCATTACTAAGAGTGGGCCTAAGCCAGGGAATGTAAACTTCTTTCAAGAAACTTTGGCCCAGAGCAGACCACCAATGTACATCCATGTCCTTTCACAGCTGCATATGTGCAGCATGCTGCTGGTATCTACTGAAAGGACTCATTGGAGGTTCAAAAGAGGACTAAAGCGAAAGTTTCCTATGGCTAGTGCAAACCAAAAGAAATTGGAATACACTGCTGAAGTTCTCTTAGAGGCCTGGTACCCTCGAGGTCCGAAAGAGGTGGTGACTGCCTCGAACTTAAGTGAACAAATATTTCTATCCTTTTTAAGCCTCGAGATAACCTTGAAGCTGATTACAGGTCTACACTGCTCTTTAGTTTGTGCTTTGCAATGTAACTAGTTCTGCAGAACGCCTCCATCTCTTCTTCCTGTGTGATACTTAGCTTGTAAGGGGTGGGGGAGAATAAAACAAGTGAACATCATTGCGATTTCTTTTGAATTTCATAATGAATGTGAAAGAATAGCACAAAGTGAATCAGCTAGTATTTACTGTGTAGGATTGGATAGCTGTTTTTTGGTTTTTTGCAGGAGCTTTTGATTCTAGCAGGGGAACATGTCTCCTTGCACTTTCAGGCGGTAACTGTATTTAAGTCCCCAGTTTCTTTAAGTCAAGTATATAAGATAAAGACCGTTGATTGCAAAACATTCTTGGGTTGAATCTTCTCAAGGGGAAAAAAATTTACAAATTGAAGCTGAAGATCCTAGTTCCATCTTTGTAACAATAGGCTGCTTTTATACAAAAATCATGCATAGGCATTTAGAAGCTAGCAAGCAAGTATACAAAACTCTGCTAGAGCATAAAATCAAGAGAGCAGTTATCCTATTGCAGGTGCTGGTAGCCTTTCTGATCTCACTGCAGAAACAGAAGTGGAAACTTCTTGGTGCACAAAGCAGCAGCATGGGGATAGCCACTGGAATTCACTGGCTGTTAAAGCTCATAGACTTGCTTCCTGAAGACACGGCCGTACCTCCTGTTGCTCAGGAACAGAGTGGAGGTTTGGTCATATCCATAATAATGTCCGGCTGGATAGACAGTCATGACTCAATAGCCTTTCTTTGCCCAGTCCAGTACTTCATATATCTGCAGTTTGTGTAGATGCTGGTGTGAGCTAAAGGAGCAGGAGCCAGAGTGGATTTTGGGACCTGGGAGGACTGCCATGCCAGCTTCTGCAGACAAGTGATACCACAGTGATGGGAAGAAGCAGTGGGTGCAGCAAGATCATTTTCAAAACAGATTAAAACGATAGACCTAAGCAGGTGCTTGTTTCTGAATGGTGCTGTGATCCCAGTTATACCTGCATAGCACCCAAGCACCTGCTTTCCTACTGGAGGCCCAGTACTTGACCTCCCTAAAGCTATGGGAGGTCCACAGCCACTACAGTGCCACCAGTTTTTGCAGTGGAGGCTATCAGTTAAGGATGACTGAATCTCTTGTTACAGACAGCAGTTACAGTCTGTTCAGAATTAAAGGTCAGTGCTTACAGAGATCGTGAGTCTACATGCTCATCTGTCACTAGTTACTTTTGGATTCTCAGTTATGGATACCAGGACAGAGCCAGGCTTCCAGAGAGTGGTGTGGAAGTGCTCAGCCTTCTGCTAAGTCCGACCACATTAAGGAGGTGAACCAAGGCCCCCTCCCAAATTCTTAGTTACATGTGAAAACACAGCTATTGAATTATTTAGCTTGAACATGAGGGGCTAGGGAGCCAGCCCCTTCTCCTGAGTGGGTAAAGGCTGATGAACTAGAGAGAAGGGGATGGGAAGTGTTTATGTACAGGGCAACCATGCAGACTTTTGGCAAAGACACATCTTTTCTAGTGCTAAAGCACATTCTGAGCTGCATCTAGATGGAGCTACCCTAAATGTCACACAACACTGCCTTCATTTTGTTTGTTCTTCAGTGGAGATTCAATAGGTGATGGAACCAGCTAAGACAGTGAAATAAAGAAGAAAATTCACACCCATGTTCCTCAGATGTGTTTGTGGCTTTTCCTCCTCATGATATGACCAAGATAGATACGTGTAAATCATGGAGTAGCATGCAGCAAATGTTGCCCCCCCCAGATCCTTCATGTTCTTGTGCACTCTCTATCTTAACTGCTGTATGTCCTCATTTTCATTATTGATTTATAGCAAAATACCCTTAGCAATAAAATTCATATTTAAGTGTAATTGTTTTGTCTTGACGTGTTTACTAGCCTTTGTTCAACATTTCTCATTTAGTTAGTCTGTAGATGGATATGTTTTTCAAACATGTAGTGAACTTACAGGAGGTTTCCTTTGCAAGGAAACAGCGCCATGATGAATTCTGTGCACCTCCCGTCTTTCCTAAGCAATTACAAGGGTGACTTGACTTGGTGGAAAAATGAACTAAGACAATTGTGGCTGTTGGAGTTAGAGCTCAGGCTGACGTACCTCCATCATCTCAGTTATCATTTAATAAACATGATGTAATGTCTGTGAAATCAGCAAAGTCACTCTGCACGAACACCCTATACCAAGATTAGAATTAAGGCCTATTTCTTTTTTAATGGAGTTGAAGGTTTTGACTCAGAAATGCTTAATCTTGGATATATGCAACACTGATCCAGATTTAGCATTTGACATTGTGTTATCAAATCAGCAGATTTGTACTGTTTAGTATTACAGTAAGCAGCTTGGAGCACAGATGTTGCTCTGGGCAAAATGCTACTGGTTGCTGTATTGGTATTTCCCATTTATAAATTGCTTCAGTGGAGTTGCGTACAATCAATAAGTTTACTTAGACAAAGACACTAAAGGACCACAGCTAGCTCCGCCACCTAAAGGCAGACTGTCTCGTACATTTGCGGGGAATTAAACTATTTGTCAGAAGGACCACAGTACATTTTGTAAACCATTATCCCTGCTTTATGCACATTTTGTTTTTACTGTTGAGGGGTGGTGGGTTTTTTTAGCTGCTAATCTGGGGGAGGAATGAAAACAAAATTGCTATTTCAACCAATCAGTTAATGTAGGAGGACACGTTGCTCTCCTCCCCAGCATGCTATGTTGACTGTGCTTATTTTATCAGTCACCAGTTCCATGTGATGGATTTATGAGGCTAAGCAGACCATTACGTACACTTAACCCTGCCCACCAGAGAGTCCGCCTTTACTGAAACTGCTGCACCAGAACAAGTTAGGGAACTAGATTTGCTGCACAAGGCTTAGCAGCTCCATACCTTCCTAAACTGCAATGCTCCTGAACTGGCAATAGCTTAGAGAACAGGATTTGCCTCTGTTACTGCTTTCCC